ACCTGCTGTGCAGGAGCGTCTTAAGTATTAGAAGAGTTCTGAGAATGGTATTTAATTCATAATTCTTCAGAAGTTCAAATAACCCTTTAAGTGAGTTGGATTTGGGGAATATAGAACAAGGACATGTTAGGGATATTTACTTAATTTTTTATTTTTCAGCCTAATTAATCTAACTGCTGTTATAATAAGGTCATGAAGTAGGAAATAGGAAGACTTTTTTTTTCTCTTTCCTGCAGGTGTTCTCCTTATATTTAATTTCATTTAAAGATCTTAGCTAGAACCTAGCATTTCAGGCAGTTACCTGAGCCTTGTAAAGTGGTACTAGTATTTTATCATCTCTCTTGGATTTATGTTAGTTAACACATCACAGGATCACTTTTGTGTTTACATGGCTACAACGTGTTGGTAGTTTTATCACCATCCTATGAGCAAATAATTCTTCTAGATCTCCCTACCTCCCCCAAATAACAGGTAATGTAAGAGAATTTCTTACTATTATTCCCGAAAAGCGTGACCTTGCTGTTCATGCTATTAAGTATCATCCTGTTTCTCTTACTGCAGTCCTCGAGGTCATAACATTTCATGCTTTGAGAGTTGAATCCTTTGTATTAATGGTACCTCATCGCTATTTGTTAAACCTCTTTTTATGCCTGAGTCATTTATCGAAACGTTATAAGAAATGTGTTCAAAAGACTGAAAATTTTTTTCCTACCAGTGACATTCCTTCATTTTGCCTTTCTGCGGAACTTGTTTTCCTCTCTGTGTTTGCCAGTTAGTTACTGAACAGTAAGTTTTGCGTAGTACTATGGATAGATCAAGCTTGATATCTGCCCCCCAATTCAAAATCATATTACATACAGTAGCCACTAGTCATTCTGACACAAAATCTCTCATTATATTTTTGTATCCAGAGCAAAGAGAAGAGTAGGGCAACTCCACCAAGTTAACAATAGCAGCGAAGACTAGTACAGATTTCAGGCAGACAGTTTTGCAGTTCTTTGTCACTAGAGGAATGTGATCATCCAACTGAATGGCCGCTTCCCTCCTGAGTTGTCATATAGCCCAGTCTGGGTGGAAATGTGTTAAATCTCTTAGGTGGTAATGAAACTGCAGAAAAATGAGACTCTAAAAGATACAAGATCAATTGGAGTTAATGAGACAGAAGAGGAGACTGGGCAGGAGAAAAGAGTAGAGTTGCCAGAGGGAAGGCGTTGAGGAGGAAGGCTATATCCTATTTTGTCAGTGTTTTTCTAGAAGAAAACTGGTGAAATCCTCTGCAGAGTCAGGTATGGACGGTTTGGGAAGTAGGGGATTCAGCCGGACAAGTTGGAGTTTGACAAGTTGAACGATTTTGTCTGCCCCATTTTAAAATACCATCCATGGAACCCTCCTCCTGTTACTCAGATTTCTGTAAGTTTTAATTAGCTTACTACTTAGCAATTACAATTTGTCATTCTTATTCTAGAAATTCTCCTATCCAGCTCTTCATGTTTCAGTGTTATGCTCTTACGTAAGTCCTAGCCAAATCTCCATGAGGAGCCTGTCTTTATCCTCGACTGCTAAACACTTTGAACACAGTTCTGTTATGTTGCTTTTCTGGATTCTGCCCTCTGCCATTGAGGTCTGTTGTCATCCCATATCCCTGATAATTTATCAAGTAAACAAATCCTTTGGAAAGTTTCATTATCTCCTCTGTCAAACAATAACTTTCGGGGAAATTAAGTGAAATGCTAGTGCTGTTCCAGTTTTTCTCTTTTCCCTATTTTAAAAGAACAGACAATCCCCCTCCCTCCCCCCAACAACCTTTCAGTTATATCATCAACAAAATATTCAGCTATTTTACTGTGCTGAATATTCACAGATTTCATTTTTTATTCCTGACTGGTCTTCTCTTGTCTAAATCTAAAATCTAAGCATGGTAGTATGAAGATTCTTAAACAATGACTCAAATACAACATCTGAAATCCCGCTCTTGATTTTTCTCTTCTGTTCCTAAAATTGTGCCTCTTGGTGCTTTTATTTTTCTCCCCTCTCCCCCTCCATGTTTATGGCCATGGTCTTCATGCTACTCCTCCTCCTACCTGTCAGTCACACTAAGGACTTGTATACTGTCTTTAGCATGTTCCTCTCCAAGTGCTGACGTCCTGGCAGTCTCCTGGATACAGTACAGTCCTCTGGAATACTATTTCTAAGTCTGTCCTTTCTCTCTGTGTGGCTAAAATTACAGTCATGTAGTGTCTTATGCTTTTTCTTTAGCTAATTAGCATCACTCCAAAATAAATATAAAAAGATATCTTTGAGCTGTCATCCTTCCATTAGGATTCATGCAGGCTTCCTCCTTCAAGGAAGGAAGCAGTCAAACTTAGATCCCTTGGTCTAGCCAGACTTCTTCTTTATTACTGAGGGGAATGACTGACTTCTCCCTCCAAATGTCTTTGAACCGAGGTGGTTTATCCCCTTCTGTGTTCCTCTGCTAGGCCTGGAAGCATAGGACCTCTGTAGCAAGTTGGAATGATTGATTCCACAGATTTTCACAGCCTCTTTTGATCAATGTGGTATCTGTAAATTGCCTCATCAGACTGATGGGCAAACCTGTTCCATCCCGGCATGACTGTAGTATAGCCCCGTGGCAAGAAGTTCTTAATAAGTCTTGGTTTTCTTTTAGTGGAAAATGAAGGAAGTGTTTAACGTATTGCCTTGATCAAATTGTGGATTCGTGATCATGACCAGACTAATACCACATTGCTATGAGGTCTTATGCAGACCTGTAACGGTTTACAGTCTAGAAAAGACTGTTTTAGCTTTTTTTAAGCTGTACAAAAAAGATGTTATCTGTGTATAAAAAAAAAAATTATTATCATATTTCTAATTTTTTGTTCCCTCTGAAGCAAATAAGGAGATATTTGTTTGAAAGCTTTGCTTTGAAATGAAGTATTTTTCTTTTTTTTTGTGTAAGCAATTATCTTTGTAAGAAAAAATTTCCCTATTCAATATTCTGTAGTAAAAAAAAAAAAAGCTGCTAAAGGAGAAGTTTTATCATTTTAAATCAATAAAGGAGGAAGAAGAACATGATGAAGATGCCGATAGCTTAGAAGGTGAAGATGCTAGTAATGAGAGATTTCAAATGAAAGAACGCATTGCCAAGAAGTTAAAAATTGATACAACTGAAAATACTAAACAGCAACTTCAAGAGGAAGAAACTAAGACAGAAAAGAAAACAACTAGTCGCAGGTAAGTATTGTGCTTTTTTTGTTGTTTTTCCCTTCAGCTTGTTTACAGTTAGATTTTCTGCTCAATTCCAGTTTTGCAGTTACTACATTGATAGGTCAGTATTACATTAAATTACTCTCCTCTGCCCACTTCCAACTGTGGAAGATTAAATTGCCTTTTGCTTTCTCATTTCTTAGTTTCATCTGGCAGTTTGAACCAAACAGTTAAATTATATTTTGTTACACTGAGTGCTCACTGATACTTTGTATGGGAGTTGTATTGTTCTCTGAGAGTTATAAATAAAAAGTATTTTTATATATATATATATATATATATATATATCATGCTTTATTTTGTCTTTCTATGCATTTGTAAGATTGAGTTTTGTAGCTTCTTTAACTGTGTTAACACGTGGTTGTTGTCTACCGCTGAGGCTTACAGAAAGTGAAGGCTTCCTAGTCATCCATTGAAGTCTGGTTTTAGTCATTATTACAGTGTACCAGTTTTTCAACCCTGCAATTAATACATCGGTTTTTAAATATCATCTAGGGCTGTGCTTAGAGGGTTGGAATATGTCTGTGTTTAGTAGTGTAGTACTGTGTTCAAATTATTAAACTAGCTCTAGACAAATTATTATGTTTCTGTAGCAGTATTCAGCTCTTTACAGGCATGAAGTTGTGGGTTCCAGTCATGTAATATAGGTGTGCCGGCCTCCATGAACATCTGTACTGATTAGCACTCAATTTTCAGTAAGTTAATAAAAACAACTGAATCTTATTGAACACTGACTGTTGTAAGTTATGGTGGACATTCAATTGTTATCTTAATTGTAAAACAAAACTAATTATTAAGAGAAAAGGGAAGTCACATCCTGACATCTGCAACTTCATGGATATCAATCTGATTATTTTTACTGAAATAATTTGATGTGATTTTAAAAGCAAGTTTAGTAAGTTTTGAGCATTCCACATGAGGTAGCGTTTTTAACATTGTGTGGCCTATGTGTTTAGAAGCAGGCTGTTCTTTTAGAGTGGTAGAAACACTTGCATTATTTTGCCTAATCTTCTAATATTGGTATATTAAAATATACCAACTGTAATTGTTGCTGTTTGTATGCGGTTTTTTTAGTAGTGAAAAGCCAAATGAGAAGATTGCCAAGAAATAATTTTTTTTAACCACTTTAATAAGTTTGAATAACTCCAGAAACTAAAACATTAATGAGATTTAAGTAGGAAGTTCAGTGTCCTTTTCTACATTTTATCCAGTGTTGATTTGAATCTGAGAAGCACACCAGGTACGGTACAGAAGCCTTTGTAATTTGAGCAAATCATAGAATAGTTTGGATTGGAAGGGACCTTTAAAGGTCATCTAGTCCAGTCCGCTGCAATGAGAAGGGACATCTTCAATTAATTGAGGTTGCTCACAGCCCCGTCCAACCTGACCTTAAATGTTTGCAGGGACGAGGCATTTTCCACCTCTCTGGGCAACCTGTTCCAATGTTTCACCACCCTTATTGTAAAAAAATTTCTTCTTTATATCTAGTATGAATCTACCTTCTTTTAGATTAAAACCATTACCTGTTGTCCTATTGCAAGAGGCCCTGCTAAAAAGTTTGTACCGATCTTTCTTGTAAGCCCCCTTTAAGTGTTGAAAGGCCACAATAAGGTCTCCCCCAAGCCTTGTCTCCTCCACGCTGAACAATGCCGACTCTTTCAGCCTTTCTTCATAGGAGAGGTGTTCCAACCCTGGTCTTTTGGGCCCTCCTCTGGACATGCTCCAACAGGTCCGTGTCTTTCCTGTGGTGAGGGCTCCAGAGCTGGATGCAATACTCTACGTGGTGTCTCACGAGGGTGGAGTAGAGGGGCAGAATCACCCTTGACCTGCTGGCCACACTTCTTTTGATGCAGCCCAGGATATGGTTGGCTTTCTGGGCTGCGAGTGCACATTGCTGGTTCATGTCCACCTTTTCATCCACCAGTACCCTCAAGTCCTTCTTGGCAGAGCTGCTCTCAATCCCTTCATCCCCGAGCCTGTATTCCTACAGGGCGTTGCCACAACCCATGTGCAGGACCCTGCACTTGGCCTTGTTGAACCTGATGATATTCACACAAGCCCACTTCTCGAGCTTTTCCAGGTCCCTCTGTATGGCATCCCATCCCTCATGTGTGTCAGCTGCACCACTCAGCTTGGTGTCATCTGCACGCTTTCTGAGGGTACGCTCAATTCCACTGAGGAGGTTCCAGTCAGTTCTTTTTCAAGCCTAGACAGTGTTACTTCTAAAGTTCCTCATAATTTTGTGTTTGCTGAAGAGAATACTCAATATACTTAATAGCTGGAGATAAAGAAGCAAGAGCATTTGACATCCAAACTCCAACATAATAATACAAAATGATAGGAGACAAAGTTTGTAATTTAAATGGGCATTAGTTTTTCCTGTCATACGATTTTAGTTAGAGGGAAAGCAACTAACTTTCATGCTTTGGCAAACTTTACGTAGTCAACAAGATTTTTGTGGTTGGATCTGTAAACTGATGTTAATCTCTTTCTTTTGGAACCGTACATAAATCTGGTCTCTCTGTAGAACCACATCTTTAGAATAGCAAATGACATTGGACTCTGTACTTACTGCCTACCTATCTGTCCAACAACCTGTCCACCCATCTGTTTAACTGTCTGTTGGGTTTTACAGGGATCGCTGCTAGAAACAAATTTGCCTAATGTATAATAGCAACTTTATAGCATGAAGGGAATACAAAGCTAGAGCATACCCTTAGGAATGAGACATTCTATGCCCAAGTTTGCATGATATATCACATTTTCAGATATATTTGTGTAGGCGTTCTGTAAGCTGCTGGCTTTGCATGTGGATGGTCAACGTGCTGTGTGTGTGCTTATTCTGCACTTTCAGGGCAGTAGCAGTAGCGTTACAGCCAAATGGGTTACTGTGACTCAGAAGAGGGTTTCATTTTATGCGTTTTTAGCAGTTGGGAGCCATAGCCCTGGTAGATAATGCTTAGTACCACAAGTACCATCAATTTCTAGACTTAACTGTTTTCCAAATAATTGTCTGGCATCCTCTGACACGAATATCAAAGGCATGGTGTTGTTTGTTATAAATAAGGTGTTATTAACTTAGAGATCTGATGAGATAAAGTAAGATAAACATTATAAAGTTTCATTGTCTGGAACAGTGACTTTTTTGTAAATGTCCTGGAGATGACTGATAATATTCTTATGGGACTTCGCTGCCCACTGCAGTCCAAGTGTGTGTTGATCAGAAAAGGCAGACATGTGGGAGGTACAAATATATAAAAAAAAGTTGCACTGTACATAGCTTGAAGGGTAATGTCTAGTAACATATCAGAGGGCCAAGAAACATCTGATATCTATCAGAACTGTTTATCTCATCAGCTATTTAAATATGCTAATAGAATAATTGAATACCTAATAATATTTTTCAGAGCACTGTCTTTTAACATGCATGACTTTTTCTACAAATCTGTATTAATTTGTATCAGTCCTCTTTCTTTTAAAACAAATTGATTTGTGAAGCCAGAAGTTTGCACATCTTGTTTCAGAGAAACAACATGGCAACAATAGACACCTCAAATTCACGGTACTGAGATCCAATACCTCCTCTAAATACAATCATTATTGGGGTGCTCAAGTGGTGACAGTAACTTTAGTCACTTCAGTATGCATTTGAACCTTTTGTGTATGTTTTTAAAAAAAATTCGAGAGACTTTCCAATTTTGTATTAGACAGGAAACCTCATGAAAAAGAATTTCCTATTCATTCTGGCAAGTTGTTAGAGAAATTTCACAGGTCTGTTGTTTTTTATTAGAAAGCTTAAACCTAAACTTCAAAGTGTAGAACAGCTGTTTACATGAAGGAATGCATACAGATGAGAGAAGTGTTTGCCATCATCGCAGTAGTAATGAAACTTATCAGCATTACACTGAGTTTTTAAAATGGCAGTGGCTTGAGATGATCATCTGCAGGCTTCAGAGTAAACAGTCCTCTTCTAGTTTGGTAGTTAAAAGTATTGGTTTTACATTTGTTTTCATCCTGTAGATGGAGCTCGGGTGATACACATTTCTGGGTACCAGCTTTTAAAAATTTTTGCTGCTTCTTGTTTGCAAGACATGCAGTGTGCATGTGGAGTACAGTTGACTTACACAGTCAGTGATTTCAGTTGCGTCCTTGTAATGGACGTGCTACTAAATAGCAGTATGAAATAGGTGTTTAGAATAACTAAACTACTGAGAAAGGAAAGGTGACTTTTCTTTTTGAGTAACTAGCGTCACTTGAATTCAGCTTTGTGTTTGTATTTCCTGTTGTATATTTTTTTCCTAATAATGCTATTAATTGCAGATGAACTAAGTAATCATTTTCCTAGTTGGCTTATAAGCCATCACTGACTATCATAAGGAGATGAATAGTAATATTAGTAGTTACTGTTAATGACTATTGTGATTAACAGTAGCTATATTGCCACTCCTTTGCATTCATTGCTTTTCTTATATGCATGTTGCTTGTCATGGGTAAAGTAAATTATCTCATGAAGCTTTAGACAACTACTGTGCGTATGTATAAGAAATTACTTGCTGCATCCTCAAAGCAGAAGTCTGTAACACTTTCTAAGGTGTAATTCCTCTGACTTCTTTTTCTCCATTTGTTAAAAGACAAGATAACTAGTTTACTTACAGATATCTGCACTTGGTCAAATGACTTGCATCCCTACTGTCATTTTGTCATCTAGGCACAATAGTAATAAAAATACTTAATAATGCTAGGCAGACATGCTCAAGGTCATGCTAAGTCCATTTCAGACCATGCAGTAAAAATTGTATGTAGTTAAGACACCGTAACATTTTCCTAGCATCTGAATAAACACTGATACACTGAGCATACAAGATTGCTTTCCTAAGTAGTACTGTGGTGTAGAACAGCCAAAGTCTTTTAAAAGACCTTTAAATCAAAACTTCTTTTTCTCTTTGTAAATCTGCAGTTGTTATAAA